ATATCAAAGGAGAATACTCCTTAATGGAGTTTAAATACGGTAAAATATTAATACTGTATTATACTATTTACACTATTTCCATTATGGTATGGAGCTTAAAAAATATTACTGTAAGGCTTCAAATTGTGGACACTAGCTATGACAATGTTTCTCTAAAATGGGTTAACACGTACTATAATAATTAAAAATTAAAAACTTGATTAAAAAATCATGAAAATTTGAAAGTTGTATATGATAAAATGAAAATGATGTTTCTTAAATACGGAAGTATCCCTATTGATGGATCTTTACATATGAAACCGAAAGTTGTAAAGATCCATAAGGATATTTCTTAAAAAAATGAAAAACGGGGTTAAAATATTGCTCTAGTAAAACCTAGAGCGTCGTCTGCTAGTGTTGACACAAGATATAAAGGAATGTGTAATGATGATTAAATCTATAGGGCTATAGAGACTGGTCCATACTGATAAATTAAGATGGTAAGTGGGTTATTATAAAATGTTCAAATCTATATACATGGTAAAATAAATATAATAAGTATATTATTTATGTATATTTAACAATAAAATGCTAAGAAAATTCAATATCAATTGTATTATCAAGGGTAATGTTGATAAAACATGACGGTAGAATAAACTTTTGAATAAAAGTATGCCTAGGATAAAATTGTTTTAAATATATTAATGCACTGGCTAAAATATTTTTATAAAAACAAACAAGATCTATATTACAGTCGGGATTGTCTATACATATATTTCTGTGGATATAAATGGTCTGTCTGGCACATGATAAAATTATATTTAAAAGCTCATTGGGAATTGATTTATTTGATTGTAAACCAAATAAAATAAAACATTTGAAATCATGATTATTAAAATGAAAAGGTAAAATATCAGACAACATTTGGTGGAGTAAATACATAAACAGACTAAGATCTAGGCAGTCGACGAAAAGATGTTCCGTGGTTTCGGGTTCCTCGTTGCATACTGGGCACATCTCTCCGTCGACTTTCCCTATTCTCTTCAGCTTTACCATATTCCATACCACATTATGGGCAATTTTAAAATCTAGGTTTATCATTGTTGGTGTCTTATAGATTTTAAAAATATTAGCCCATGTAGCAGGCCAATTGACTTCCAAATTCTGCTTCTCCCAGTGTTTAACACCTGTAGGGGTAACATCTTTAAGTTTTATTAATACTTTGTAGCAGAATTTGGAAGTCAATTGATCATATGAGATTTCACTACCATCAATATTGAAATGATTTTCACCAGTATGGACTACAAATGAGGACGAGTTGATAATATCTACCCATTTTTGTGGTAGTGATTCTTTTATATGATCGTAAGTCTCTATAACCCTATTCTTATTTATGTATGGAAACTTTTCCTTTAATATACCAATAATGTAATGATTATTTAAAAATCCTGGTATGACGTAATATAATAGGTCATAAAATGTTAAAATTTCACATTTTATAAAAAAGTTAAAAGCTAAAATTCTGTTATTATTACTTTTTAGGTAATTAGGTTTGAATAAAACTTAGAGCACTCATACAAAATGTCTTCAGTATTGTTCAAATTGTTACCTTCACTGTCACTTAATTCTTTTATTACATTATTGTTTTGCCTTTGTTTTTCTAGGGACAAAAAATATGAAGTACACCTGTCACCCTCAGTGGCATGTTTAAATTTGCTCCTAATTATTGCCCCCTTGCATGTTTCGTGTTCCAATTCCTGCAGTTTTGCCTCTAGTTCTTTGATATAGGTAAGATCGGTGGTGGCTTTTTGAGATAACCGTTTGTATTCTCTCGAGATCCTGTCTTGGAGGGACCAAAACTTTTCCTTTTCTTCCCTTTTTCTTCTTTTTGAGTATTTCTGAGATAGTTGCTTCATTTTATATTTCAAATTATCCCACCAAATCAGAATCTCGGTAGAATACAAAGGGTTATCTCTCTCAGTTATAATTAGATCTTTAAGTAATTTGACAAAATTCTCATCTTTTAGTAATAAGTTATTAAAAATGTAGATACCCGGACCTCTTTCACACTCGTTAAAATCTAAAATTATTGAAACAGGATTATGATCGGACATTGTGGTTAGATGTTCCTGGATCGGGTACCTTTTA